GGGAGAAAGGGAGGGAGGGGGAACAGTGGGTGGTATGTAAAATGAAAAAACTTTAAATAAACAAGTAAACCTAAAAAAAGAAAGAAAGAAAGAAAAAGAAACCCTGCTCTAGTAGGGATATGGCTAGCCTATGTGCTGCAAGGCTTCATATATGTCAGAAGCTTTGTCTCTAGTGTGGTGATGTTGAAAGATACCAGAGAGGCCCTGAGAGATAGGGCCTAGTGGGAGGTATAGGTCCCTGGGCTAGTCCTCATAGAGTCTTGATAGCACTCATGGGAACAAGACTAGCCCCAACCCTCTGGCTCTCTGTCTCACTATATAATCTCTCCCTCTTGCATGTACTCTCATCACAATACGATTTACCACACAGTGACACAGCCAAGGGAGCCCTCACCAGAGCCAGCCTTATGCAGCTTAAACCAACAGTTCCAAAATTGTGACCTAAATAAACTCTTTTTTTTTTTTTCAAATGACCCAGCATTTGGTATTTTGTTTCAGCAATAGTAAATGAGCTAATACATACCCAACCCCTCCCTCTTTGCCTATCTGCAGAAATAGATAAGTTGATTGGGCAAAGACCAGAGAGCATTGTTTGTATCCCCAATTTATCAGAGCCACCTCTTAGACTAAAGTCTGCAAAACTGTCTCAGCAATCCCAATGCTGATCCCAAGCACCAAAGGAGATTTTAATTGTACGTGGGAAGATGATGTGGTGATGGTACATAGACATCGTAATTCTGAATTATGCTTTTTATCCTACTAATACCAGTGAATGTGTGTTAGTTCTGGCGGCCAACTATTTGAAGGCTTTTGGAAATCCAAGTTCAAAAGAAACTGCTCTGAACCGTCTTACCTTTTTTATTACCCAGGCTACACACTGGTCCCACCTGGGGAGCTTTAAAACACCTGGAACAGACCCCACCCAGAGATATTGGTCTAGTCCAGAAGTTGGCCTAGGTGAACCCCAGTACCAATCCTACCTCAAGTGGCTCTGAGCACAGGTGGGCTGATAGTGTAACTCAGCAGCCTGCAGCCCAGCTCGGCTCTCTCACTTATTTGCTCCCTGCTCTCCCCACAGGGCATCCAGATCATCATTGGCCTACTTCATATTGTGTCTGCATTCAACCCTGAACTATACAGGAATACTACTGTGCTGGGGTTATCAGGGTACCTGGTCTGGGGAGGACTGTCTGTGAGTACAAGGCCATGTGGCCTCCTTTCTAGGTGATCAGAGGGACCTAGGGGGGAAGGGGGGAAAAGACCCTTGAACCTTACCCCCAGTCATGTAACCCTTACAGCTTTGAAGTCTGCAGGCGCTGCTGAGGACTGAAGAGCCCACCTGCACCCTGGCAACACCACTCTTTGCCTACAAGGAGGTTTCAGCTGCAAACATTCATTACCATATCGTTATCAGAGTTTTTAAGGTCAGAGCCTGGGTTATGGCCACACTAACAAGCCAGCCTCTACCACCCACCCTTAATGAGCCAACTGAAGAGACAGGTCATAACAAAAAAGAAAAGAGAGATGATGAATTCACCGTGGCCACAGTGAGAAGAGGAACAAATAAAGAGACCCAGTGACACCTCCCCCAAATCCATCTTTGGGTTTTAAGTAGAAGATAAGGAGTACACATAACTAAGCAGTTATGGTCAGGGTGTGGTCCTATCCGTCACTGACCCATCATTGCCTCAGCTCCAAAGTGAGCCTGACAAGTTGGCAGAGGCAAGCTTTTCCTCCGGCTGGCACCAAGCTTTAGCCTGTCTCTTCCTCCAGCATCAGATGCTTAGAGCAATATTAATCCCTGGTGTGCATTGTCTTGATACCCTAAGTATCAAGTATATATATAAGTTAGAGTCTACAGAGTTTCATGTTGTACACAGCATCTGCTCCCATTCATAAGAGCACTGCAAAATTTCCAGGAATTAGTTAAGCAAGTTGTCCAATCATTTGGCGATAGGAAACTGTCAACAGTCATGATAAAGGCCTTCCCCTACTGTGTAGAGACCTCACCAGCAGGTGGCAGACATTTGCAAGCACAGCCCCGTGTACATGAAAGCCAGGGGAATAGGAGAAACATTCAGAAGGACAGTGACGGTCTCTTGAGGGGCTTAACTTGGAGGTTAAGGTGCAGCTCACTCAGGGTCACACAAAACTTCCACTGACTCAGCGACTCCTTACTAGCAAACTTGGATGAAATTCACAGGCAATAAAGGATGAGCTTAAGAGGAGTTTTTTTATAGCAAGATTTTAAAAATCAGGAAAAAAGCAGAGCCTTCAAGCCTGGATTGCCAGGAAAAGGGAGAGGTACATCCAACAACAGGAAAAGCCTGGTGAGCTGCTGGTCTAGGGTCTTTCGTACGGCAGAAACTGGGCAAAGACTGAGATCGTGCCTGCTGAGATAGGTTAATCTTCTAGGCCCATCAAGGGGCAGGCTAACTGGGATCTTGGAATGTTGTTCTGACATATCCAGGCAGCTGTGTCACGAAAAAGCTCATGCCCACATGAGTGATGACTCCCAAAACCTACATCCCCTGAACTACTCACAAAACTTGAAGACACTCCACTAAAGAGTTTCTTCTCCTCCAGCAAGTGGCTTTTAAAAAATTTTTTTCAGACAATATATTTGATCATGGTCCCCCCCCCCAATTTCTCCAAGATCCTCCCCACCTCCCTTACCCACTCAACTTCAAAATGCTCACCTCTCTCTCTCTCAAAAAACAAACCATAAAAATGAAAATCAAAACACAAAATGCCAAAAAGGAAACAAAAAGGCTCCCACCCCCGCCAAAAAAAAAAAAAAAAGAGTTTGTTTTGTGTTGGCCACTCCTCCTGTACATAGGGACTCCCTGAGGTGTGGTTGGTACACCCAGTGAGACTTCACTGGGGAACACTGATTTTCCCTGTACCGACAGGTAGCAACTACAAATAGCTTCTTTGTTAAGGCTGGGACTCCATGTCCACTCCCCCTTCTCAGTGCAGAGATCCCTCCTGCCTTGAACCTGTGTCCTTTGAGTGTGTCCGTAGTCTCTGCAAGTTCACATGTGCCTCAGACCGGCCGTACCTGGAGGACACTGTTTCCTTGAGGTCCTCCATCCTCTCTGGCTCTTACGATCTTTCTGCCTCCTCTTCCACAAAGGTCCCTGAGCCTTGAAGGGAGGAGGGCTCTGATGATGTCCCAGCGAAGGCTGAGTGCTCCAAAGCCTCTCACGCTCTGCACATTGTCCAGTTTGGATCTCTGTGTTAACTTCCATCTACTGCAAGAAAAAGCTTCTCTGATGAGGGTTAACTGAGGCTCTGATCTATGGATTTACAGTATGTCATTAGGAGTCATATTGCTCTTTTCCTTTAGCAGAATAATAGCAGATTTTCCCCTTAGGCCCATGGCCTATCCTTTCTTTCCCCCCAGCAATTGTTAACTGCTAAGCTTTTCAGAGCTTGTGTTTTTCGGGGCTCCCTGAGCCATGACACCCACACATATACACACTTAAATTAGATATTTTTTAATTTGTATGACTGTTTTACATTATTCCCTAATTATTTTTCCTTGCTTGTATGAATAAGTTTTGAAGCACATTCTCAAACTGCTCATTGATGGTTATGACTATGTAGTTGACATTTTCCTTTCTCTCTTTCTTTAAGAAAAAAAAAAGATTTATTTATTTATTATGTATACAATGTTCTGCCTGCATGTATCTCTACAGGCCAGAAGAGGGCACCAGATTTCATTACAGGTAGTTGTGAGCCACCATGTGGTTGCTGGGAATTGAACTCAGGACCTCTGGAAGACCCGTCAGTGTTCTTAACCTCTGAGTCATCTCTCCAGCCCCCATTTCTTTCTTTCTTTCTTTTCTTTCTTTTTTTTCTTTTTTTTTTTTTCTTTTTTGAGACAGGGTCTCACTAGGTAGCAGCCCTTGGCTAGCCTGGAATTCACTATAAACCAGGTTGGCCATGAACTAACAGAGATCAACCTGCCTTGGCATCACTCCCCCAGCTAAACAATTGACATCTGCACACTGATGCTGTATCTGGGGAAATAACTATACTGTCTTATTAATCCTAGTAACTTTCAGAGCTGCTGGAATTTCTGGGCAGGCTCTCATGTCATCGACCAGCGAAGGCACCACTGAAGCACAGACGGTTCTGTTCCACTCTCTTGTCATATCAGCTGGCTTTGGGGCCCCTCCTGAGGGCCTGGGTCTCAGTCTCTGAACTCAGTGATCTAGGAGGAACTTATTTTTTTTTAGGATTTCGGACCATCCAGTTCAGAGCTCCCTCCTGACTGTACAAGGGTAGTATACTTGGCCATTTAGAAGCGTTTCATCTCAGTGATTTTAGGGATTTAGGGATTTCATCCCTAAAGAAAGAAAGAAAGGACCATGGGTGTGGCTCAGTGGTAAAGTATTTGCCCGGCACTTACAAGGGCCTGGGCTCTATCCTCAGAAGTATAAAATAAAGCAATGGGAGTAGGAACTGTTGTTACTACAATAGTCATTTTACAGATGAGAGGGAACCAGCTTCAGCAGTAATTCAGTGAGATCAACTCTGTGAAAACAGTTTGTTTTTACTCTTGTTAGGACTCTTAAGCTGGTCTAGGAGCACAGCTAGATGAATTAGTGAAGTTATGAAACAGGAGCCCCAATGTCGTCTCTCCCAGCCTCAGTACAATGACCACCATGCTACCCTGCCCCTAACTTCCCAGGCTAAGATCATATTCAAGAATAGGACAGTATCAGAGTGAATGAGTTTGAACAATGGCATGGCCCACTGTGAGCTTGAGGAGACCTAGTCAGCAGTGGTAATAATGAATGACTTAGGGCATCCTACGTGACCTGTAGGAATCCGAGTGCCACGTACATAGTACTCAAAGTTTGGGACCGTGACAATGTCAAGAGGAAGCTCACAGATTTACATGCCTGGGAAACGAGATGTTTGGAAATTAAAGACACTTTTTTTTATGTCTATTTAGTTTATCATCTCTGGATTCCTCTCAGTCTGGGCTGCAAAGGACCCCAGAAGCTGCCTGGTAAGTCACGATGCCATTTCTTTGATGACCCATGAGTCTTAAAGCAGTAGAGTTGGCCCTAAGGACCATTCATTTGACTGAATAAATATTTATTTTACATAACTGGCCATGAAATTTAAACTGCGGGGCCCTACTGTTAATGCAATCTGTTTCACAACCTCAATGGGAACTCCCTTTTTCTTGGCAACTAGGGAGCCCAGGCTCAGGGCATGGGTAGAATTTTAAACTCTGAATTCTTATCTCAAAAGACAAGCTCTCACATCTTTCTCCAATACAATCAGACATTTAAGCGGGCATCAGCGAGCAATGGTCAAGATGGAATATGGGTTGCTGGTCTGCAGTCACACTAGCTGTCACCTCCCGTGTCTGTCTTCCTCCTTGGTTCCCAGGTCTGGACCTGAGGGTGGTGGGGATGGGCTATGACCCTGTACTCTTGTACACAAGACTCGGGAGGAGGCAAAGAGGCAGGGAGTGCAGGGCCAGGGCCCAGGGAAACCCTCATTTTGATGGCCACAGTCTGGAGATAGTCCGTTTGGCATCATCATCATCAGTGGCTTTTGCTTTCTTGACCTGGGAGTGGTGGGTCTGTGACATAATGCCACTGTCTTCCTGGGTGTGGTGGGCTGTGACATAATGCCACTCCCTTTGTGACCATAGAAGTGAAGGGAATCAGCATGTAGGGTCCTTTCCAAGTTGGTTTCAGAGCCCCTTTGGCTATCTGTTTGACCCAGACAGTATCACTGGGCTTGAACAAGGGGAAGCTGGTGGTGGACTTGGAGGTCGGCTGAGTCTCTCTGATAGTCCACTGGATAGCCTTTATGAAGGATTGGAAGGCCTGTAGTGACTTGGAAAAAGGAATGGTTAGAGAGTCTTTCCAACTGCTGGTCTCTGAACTGGGGAAGCAGTGGAGAAGGCCTTCCAAACATAATCTCATAGGGGATGAATCCCTCCCTAAGGGTGTTGCAGTGAGCCCACGACCCAAAACAAAATGAAGGAAGGAGGTCTAGCTCCCCTTCACTGAACTATAAGAGAGTTTGGTTAGGGCTGTTTGTTTGTTTGTTTGTTAAATGTCCTGTTTATTCATTTTACCTGCCCAGAATTATGAGGTCTATATGCACAAAGAAGTTTCCAAACTCTACCTAAAGCTTTAGATATTACCTAGAAGATTTTGGCTATGAAATCCAGGCCATTGTCACACCACATTGCTAGAGAGAGGCCAAATTGGGGGACTAGTTCCTAGAGAAGCTTTTTAGCTACTATTTGATGAGTTTTAGTCTGGGTGAGGAACGCTTCTACCCATCTGGAAAAGATATGTATAGAAACTAGCATGTACTTGATGTATCCTCCTCCCCGTGCAGGCCAGATCTCTGTGAAGTCTGTTTTCCCAGAGTTCGCTGGGGTGTTGGCCTCTCATTTGGACCCCTTCCTGGGTAAGGGCTCTCAGTTTTGCATTTGCTTGAGCATAAAACTGGCATTTGACTGAGATATCCCATGCCAGGCTGTCCAGTCTAGGTATAACACACCTTGGCTTGAGCAACTCAAAGTTCTGTGGACCCCAGATGAGTAGCCTGAGGAAGACCAGTTACCAGAATCTTAATGGTTGTTTCTTGGAGAATGATCTTTCCCTCTGGTGTTCTCCACCAACTTGTGGGTTCAAGCTGTCCTTTTTTATTGCTTTCATCCTCTATTTCCTCTTGGCTGTGCCATGTAGTCTCAGGTCAAGGTATATCACAGGAATTCAACAGAATATCAATAGGCACCACTGGCCTTAGGACCACATTTCTGGCAGCCAGATGAGTGGCTCTACCTCCTGCCTCAGGGGAGTCATCTTTTTAATGTCCTTGGCAGTGGAAGATAGCAGTTTATAGGGGAAGCCACATAGCCTCTAGGAGGACCAAGATTTTTTTTCTGTTTCCAATGTCCTCTCCCCTGGTGATGAGAAGCCCTGTTTCTCTACAGATCATACGTGGACATGGGTGGTAGTAGAAGCAGATTGGCCAGTTCTGTTCTCTGGGCTGAGGTACCTGCTTTGGGACCAAATAATTTCATTTAAAATAATTACTGCAGCCCCATGAACCTGGTTTCATCTTTAATTAAGCTTCCCCCGTCCGTGTAGAGCATTGCATCAGGGTCTTTCAGAGGGCTATCACCTGGAGACAGTCATGGGTGAGCACCTGCTGGTCATTATCAGTCAAGAGAGTAGCATGAGTGATAGTGATGGGTTTTTCAAACAATACTCGAGGACGGTCCAGGAGAGGGACTTGCTATTGGTTCACACAGGCATTAGACAGCCAGAGTTCTGGTATTCCTTGGAGGAGGGCCTTAGCTGTGGCAGGGGGTTGGGGAGGGATGCTGTGAGTGTAAGTCTGACCAGAGTTAACTTGTTTGCTTGTTTTCACTAGACTAGCAGTAGCTACCATAGCTCTTAGACAGATGGTCCATCCTGGGCCTACAGGGGCCAATCATTTGGACAGGCATGTCAAAGGTGTTTCTGTGGCCCCAAAGTTTGGGTTAAAACCCCTTTTGCAATGCTTTTGTTTCCTGGACAAACAGATGAAAGGGTTTTGAAAGATCTGGAAGTGCTAAGGATGGAGCCAAAGTCAGGGCTGTTTTTAAAGCCCCAAAAGCCTGTTGCTCAGTCTCAATCCAGATTAGAGGCTCAATGCACCCCTTGTTCTGGTGTACAGAAGCTTTTCCATTTCCTCAAACCTGCTACACAGGGACATCAATACATAGGCACACCTTGGAACACTCAAACCTGTCTCTCAGTCTTTGGAGTTGGGATTTGAAGGATGGCAGCAATCCTACTCTGAGACAGGCCCCTTTTGCCTCCCCCTAACTGGTAACCAAGATAGGTAGCCTCTGATGTTAATAAATAAATAAATAAATAAATAAATAAATAAATAAATAAATAAATAAATAAAAATAAATAAATAAATAAAAAAGTTGGGCTTTCTTATCCAACACTCTGTAGCCCACAGTCTGTACCTCTTACAGCAGTCCCTCAGTGGCCCTTTTACAATATATTTTAGGTTTAGGTTTGGTTTTTTTTTGGGGGGGGGAGTGTTTTGTTTTGTTTTGTTTTGTTTTGTTTTAGTTTTAGAGGTTAGAAGGAAGTTATCAACATATTGTGAAAGTATGGTCCCAGGAAACCTCTGACAGAAGGACAGGAGATCAACACTTAGTGTCTCATCAAACAGAGCTAAAGAATTTTTAAATCCTTGGGACAACCTGGTCTAGGTAAGCTGCCCACTGTAACCTCCTCTGGGTCTGTACATTGAAAGCAAAGATTGGTTGACTTACCTCTGCCAATGGAAGGCTGAAGAATGCATCTTTCAAGACCAAGATAGTATACACCTGTTTCTCTAGAAGACTCAGACTCATGAGAGTGCATGGGTTTGTGAGGTAGATGGTCTTGACCTGCTTATCTCTTTCCTTAGATCCTGAACAAATCTATAATTAGAGGTCCCAGGCTTCTTCACAGGCAGGAGGGGTGTGTTCCAGGGTGACTGGCAGGGTACCAGGATGCCTGTCTCCCTAAGTTAGGCAATATGGACTGTTATTGCCTGTTTTCCCTCCTTTTGTCTAAAAAGAAAGATTTTAACTCTAACATAGCATAACTACATACAACAAAAACAGTTATCAAGTAAGAATTAATTTATAATATTCAGTCTAATTATATTTAACAAATTCAGAGAAAGCATTTTACCATTCCTCTTAGTGACTCCAAAGTTTTATACATAATTTACTTTCTATCATAACTAAAGAAAATTGCAACTATTACTATCTATAGTCTTCAACTCTTATAAAAGACCAGAAGGATGTAATATTATCTAGCAACAGAGACATTTGGCTGCTTGGACAGTCATCCAAAGTTCCTCTGCAACGTTGGGACATCTATCTTCAGCCTACAGGCCTAGAGTATCTGGCAGACTTTTCTATGAAGTAGGAATTTTGGAATGTCCTGTAGTTGGAAGGTTTCTCCAGTCCCACCAGGTCCCTGCATTCCCACTGCCTGCTTATAAAAATAATCACTCAGAAGCTTATATTAATTATAACTGCTTGGCCTCTAGCTCAGGCTTATTACTGATTAGCTCTTATACTTAAATTAACCCATAATTCTTATCTATGTTTAGTGGCTTGGTACTTTTTCTTAGTTCTGCCTTGTCATCTTGCTTCCTTTGTGTCTGGCTAGCCACTCCTGACTCAGCCCTTTCTCTTCCCCAAATTCTCCTTGTCTGCTTGCCCCACTTATACTTCCTGCCTGGCTACTGGCCAATCAGCATTTTATTAAATCAGTATACAAAAGCATTATCCCACAGCACTGTCCTGCCTTGTTTTGGCAAAATTCATCAGTCACTTTCCTCTGTATCCAGCAGAATATCTGATAGACTCTTCTGTGAATCAAGATTTTGAAGGACTGTCCTGACTTGTTTTGGCAAACTTCAATAGTCACTTTCCTGTGGGTCCTGAATGTCTAGGCTGCACAGCACATTGTCAGCAGGCAAAAGCAAGAACAATTTCTTTGCCCATTGGCTAACCTTGCAACAATGAATGCAAACTCCATAAGGAATTTATTCAATGCCCATCATTTCTGAAGTAAATTGATACTGCCAGTAAGAGATGTGTCTCATTGTCATGAAAAACTTTATGTTAACAAAACATTCTAAATACCATTATTCTGTAGGTCTTTGAAAGACCATCTATCTATCTAAAATATATCTCTATATGATCTGGAAAGCATACCTAACATATCTACAATTTTGATTGTTATAAGTGACTAACCGCTAACCCATTTCCTGATTATCCTATATAGTTTATAATAACAGCTTTCAAAAACTAGAATTTTACCTTACATTTTTAAATAAACTGCACAGGTATAATACCTCAAACAAGAATAGAAACATATATACAATATGTTGTAACAAATATAACCTTAAATTTTTATCAATATACAAAAATCCTTTAAATAAGAGTAGAAACGTATATATATACATATATATGTATATATATACAGTGTAACAAAAAAATAACTTTAAATTTGTATCAATATACTATATTCTCCTTAATGATAACAAACATCCATAACCCACCAAATAACCAAAAACCACCCACACCCTTCTTGGGAATGTAAGCATCGTGTTCTCCACACTGCTTCCTGCTATCTGTGGATGAAGTATCTTTAGGGTCCCAGAGAGAAAATTTGAGATAATGACCAAGTCCTGGGAAGGCCAGCAGTAGCCTTTGCTGATAGATATCACATGTCCAGTTTCAGGAGGTCTTGCCTGATCAAACCTGATCCATATTAACCCTGAATCAATAGCCTTTCAACTTCTGTGGGACCAAAACTCCAAAGCATTTTTTATTTCCATTTGAAAAATACATTTTCGACTTCTTTTTTAAAGTTAAGATAGCCATAAAGAATCTAGGTTGGTTCAGTTTTGCAGTCCTGTCCACAAGCCCATGTCTGCCAGCAGCTGTTGTTTGATTGTCAACATTCAAAAAATTCAAAATCAACACAGTACTACACAGGATCCA